GCAAACCTCAACATTCTCTTTTTTTTTCTCTTTCAAACGGAGCTGGTCAGAATATAGGAAAATTACTTCAGGACAATTTAAAAAGTATTGCTGTTTTGCAGAACTTGAAAATGTGTCCCTCTTTTATATCTTAAAATAAAAATGTACTTATGGAGACCACACTTATCAAGTTACATTTTCAATAAGAATATCATAAACATCATAAAAAATGCATAACATCAGCAATTTTCTAAGGAAAAACTGATTGTAAGTTAGTTTTTTTTTCATCCCATAACATCACAACACCTCATTTAGGAGCAGGTGTCTGCCGTAAACTGAATATCACAGTGTTAGGGGAAACAAAAATCACAGACAATTTAATCTCTCTTTCTTCTTCTCTCTTTCTTTTTAAAATAGCCCTAAATAGATCCAGTGAATTTGCCTCAAGGCCTGGTATTTGTCCAGAGGAACATATGGAAACATCAAATTATTCATGCACATTTGACACTGACTGTCCAGGACTTAAAAAATGCTGCAACTCATCCATAGGAGCAGGCTGTGTTACTCCTTTACCAGGTGGTATGTTACCTACACGTTCTAACCCCTGCTCCTACCTCCACCCAAAGAAATAAGCCACAATTTTTTCTGCTGAAGATAAATAGAGCAACTGTTAATATGTCCTTTCACAGCATCTGATGAAGTGAACTTAAGTTCACAAAACCTTGTGCTCTCTATATATCTTATTTAGTTAATTGACAAGATGCATATCTACCCTGCCTTCTGCTTGACTTCAGACAAACATGAGTAACTACCCCCATCTTTATAAAATAAACAGGTTAATCAATTCAAGGATAATCAATTTTAGTAGTTGGCCTTTTGAGTCCCTTGCTATAGTATACCTTTTTAGTACACCTTTACCTTCTCCTTGTTTGAGGCACAGACCACTGCTGTTTCTAAGAACTTTGCTATTTGTCCTGGATAAGACCTAAATTATTTGTTGTTTTAAATGTGTTCAGTTACAGAGAGGAACCTAAGACAATATTGGTTTAATGCTTCAGTCCTTGTGAAAATGGATTTTAACGAATTACACAGAATAGATCCAAGACTTTTGAATCATTCACGCCTTCTGCATGCCCTGGTATGTACTAATACAAAAGTTATTATGTTTCTCATATGATATCATTGATGCTCAAATACCAGGATAAACTAGACATGCCAAAATGAAAGAGAGCTTGTGGTACTTTGTGCTGATCAGGACCTTATTATGCAGCTGCTCCACTGTGCCCTTCTAAGATACAGAAGGTAGGGGAATTGTGCAATATATTCCAAGCAGGTGAATGCAAGATTCATTCTTGATTATTTCAATTTTACATTTATCTCAATTTGACATTTATCAAGACTTTGGCTAAAGAAATCATATACTTGAAGTTATCATCTTTTTTCTATTCCAGTTATGCTTTGCCTGCCTCTAAGCCCTGGCTAAGTCTTGGCTTCAAAACACACAATTTAGCTGAGATTTGTAGAGTTCCAGAGTGTGGATATTTTTAAATTTGGAGTCTTGGGGCGCTTGTACATGTGATGTTTGTCCCAACATACATATGACAAAAATGTCATTTGTGTGACTTAATGGCATCACATTACAAGCGTGCCAGTTTTGGGGGGTTTAGATGAGTCTGCATCATTGCAAACTAAACTACATCCAAATATAGTTTAGTTTGCAATGTTACAAATTGCAACAATGCAGCTGTCAGCTTGCTTCCTGGTTGTGGGAGAGGCAGACAGGTTCCATAGAAAAAAAGGATTTGGCCCCTCACCGTCTTTGCCTTCAGCAGGTACCTGCTGACAAGGGGCCTGATACTTTTTTTTTTTGGTGGAGCCTGCTCACCTCTCCCACAGCCAGGGGGCGAGCTGCCAGCAGGACAAGCAGCCCCTGAACTGCAGGGGGCCCAGTCCTTCCCTCCATGGTGGCAGCACCCCCCGTGGCCACCCGGGTAGGCTTCTAGTAGACCAAGTGCTGCCCCAGCTTGGAGGCAGCACCCGACCTGATCCAACTGTTCCCTGAGCCTGCCTGCTTGAAGCCCACTGGGCACTGCTTCCTGGGCGGGCTAGGGGCAGAGTTAGATCATGCCAGGTGCTGCCTCCTAGCAGCCTGCTTGGGTGGCCCTGGGGAGGAAGGACTGGGGCCCACCTATAGCTTAGGGGCTGCTAGGCCTGCTGACAGATCCCCCCTGGGCTGCAGTCAGGTTCCAGCTCTGACCAAAAAAAAAAAGGATTGAGCTCCTTGCCATAATGTGATAGAAAAATTGAAGTGGGTTTCAATTAAAAACCCATTATTTCAATTTAGGAGGCATAGAATAAAACCCTGAGGATGAAACCCCCATCAAGTGTACAAGTGCCCTGAGTCAAAACCCATTCTAGAGACAAGTTCCAACTGGGAAACTGGGACCTAGATAGAAGATGGATTCTGAATCTCTAAAAGTTTGACTGTTTCAATCCATGACTGTCTTTAGGTCACAGATAATTAATTTTCATTACTACAACAGCTAGTAGTGCTGTGCAAAACAATGAGCTCTGTCACATGCATGGATGAGGAATGACAATGGTAACTCTGTGTGTAGAGTTATCGGGTCATTAGACAGTGTAGTATGTAGCTAGCTACGAGTGTTTTGACTACAAGTGGCAGGAAGTGCTTTAATCAACCAAGTAAAACAAAGCTGGGACAAATACATATATGAAATGCTATCATTTACCACAGACTTGTTGCTCCTTTTCTGATTAAATTAGAATGACTGCACATAGAAAGAATCAACTACTAACAAACATCCAAGTGAGCTAGTGTTCAAAAAAAGCTGGTCTCTCTAGAGTGTGACATTTTCAAACTTTAAAGTATTTCTACAATAAATATTCTCACCCTATTGAAGAAACAATCATCCCAAATTCAGATCAGACTTCTTAGGAGATTCCCAAAAAGTAAAATTAGTTATTTCTCTCCATTAGTTTTAATTTCTATACTGCCCTCTGCCAGGTTCCATCTGAGACCTAAAGGATAAGTAACGAAATACAAGACAACCTCTTCTCTTGATGTCGTCTTCTAGGTGCAGACAGAAGCACTGAATAGTAGAAATCTCAGAGGAAAACCTGTTCTACTAAGATTTTCAGCCCAGTTTCTAGACTCAGGGGGCATGTCCACACATGCAAGCATATGCTCTCGCAGCAGCTCAAGGAGAAGTGGTACAAATTTGAGCCGAGGCTTTTTGCCTCAGCGCACGTGCTCAGACATGCACTTTGTTGTGGAGCAAATTGTGCCACTTGGGGCAAAATAACCCTGCCTGGCTCCTCCCGGCTCTGTAGCCAGGGGGACATAGAGCCCGGGGCCAGCATCTGTGCTGTCCCCTGCAGTACAGAAAGCTGCCCTGGCAAGTAGCTCAGGGCTACTCACTCTCAGGAGCTTCTGGGGCCCAGCCAGTTGGTACCTGGGGACACTACCCTTTATGCCAGCTGGACTGCTGAAGCAGTCCTGAGAGTTCTCTGCACTCTTTACCCACTGCAGAGGTCTGGCAGTGGGGGCTGCTGCCTGGCTGTGACCTGCCGTGCACCTGCCAGAACTGAATGGGGACTGCATGGCTAGTAGAGACATCTGCTTCTCTGGGCCAGCTGCCAGTGGGCTGTAGCAGCAGAGTTGGCCTCTGTGCAGCACTAGTGCCATGTGTGCCCCCTGCCCAGCCATCTGGGCAGCTATCACCTGGAAGATGTTCTCAGTGTGGTGGCCTGCTTTGAACTGTCAAATCATGTTCTCCTGGCCCCATTTGTCCAGGAGATCAGCCACAGCCAGCTAGGTCCAAGGTGCCAGCTCTGAGCAGGCAAGGTCCTGCCACTGGCTTCCCTACCAGGAATTCTGGTTTTCCCTATTAGAAAACTGAAAAATCCCTGATAAACAAAATCCCCAAGTCACTCTGTAAAATACCCCAAAATCCATGTTCCTCCACAATTAAAACAAAGCACCACTATAAAGAGAGAGAGAGAGACAGAGACAGTGATCAGTTGGGCAATGTTTTATTGATATAACTACAGTGTTAATGCACTGTGGAAGCCTACCAGTGTCTCTATCATAATAATA